CCTACTGGGTATTGAGCCCCCAACCCGCCCTGACCTGGAATCCAACGGGGACCTCCTAGTTCCTAGGTCCACTCTCAACCACCAGGACACACAGGCCAGGGGTTCATTCCTGTTATGTGCCGTGACCGGGCTCGACCTGTCACCTTGGTGCATAGGGATGACGCTCTAACCGACTGAGCAATCCGGCCATGGCTTTTAGGGAAAACTTTAAAACCAGAAGTCGCTTCGCTCCCCTAGCCTATTTGCAGCCTTGCTGTATACAAGACTTAGCTATATTCCCAAAAGCGCACTGTCTGGGCAGCTCACGTCCCATCTGTGGGCTTAGCCCTGTGGCTAAAGGCGGGAAATGCAGTCCTTTCTTGTGACACGGTTTGCAAAAAGAAACAAATCTTTTCTGACATATTCACCGCTTCCCACTCTAGCCGGTCAGGTCTGGAACAATCCCGTCCCCTGGGTTAAGAAGACATTGCGCATTTCCGTGTAGAGGCGGGGGCGAAGAAGACCGGAAGGAAACCGCTTCCTTTTTTGCGCAAGCGCACGAAGGCTTCCCCCATTGGTCACCTCGACTCGGAAGTAGGTGCGCATGCGCTCAGCATCCGGCCGGCTGTTTTAGCGATGGACGCGGTGGTGATGACCCGTTTGTATCTGCAGAATGCAGTCGGCAGGCCGGGCCTCGAATAACGGCGATTACGCAGGTTTTCTCTTAGCTTCTGAAATCTGTCTAAAGCGGTGATGCATTCATGCTAAAGTACCTAAACTCTGCCAGACTGTGAGGGTTCTCAGTGTTCTCAAACCTGTCGAACTGGGGGAGGGGCCGTGAAAAATAGTTTGTATAGAGATTTCCCTGCGCCCTGCCCCGCCCCGCTTTGGACGCCTGAGTACGTTCACAAAATACCCAACATTAATACCTTACTTGCTGACTGCGCATGAGACTTTTTAATAATATTTCTCAAGTATTTGTTTACAGAAGGAAGCGAGGAGAAACTGAAGCGGTGCAAGCCAGGTGTATATGGTAATTTAAAGATGATCCAGAAATTATCATTAAAGACCGTTTATTTTTTAGTCTAATAATCTAATGTTTTAATCTTCATTTTGCTGGGCAGAAAATCAAAATACTGGGCTGCCTGGTTCAGGGCCGGACGCTGAGCCAACCTAGTGATTTCGAAGCCATGGCAACAAAGGAATCAGATGCCAAAGCAGAGTCAGCCCTCACCTCATCAGCCAATCAGAGCAAACAAGCGTATGAAAAACCAAACTATGCTCTCAGATGTACTCTTGTGGGACATATGGAAGCAGTATCATCAGTTAAGTTTAGTCCTAATGGAGAGTGGCTAGCAAGTTCTTCTGCTGACAAAGTAATTATAATTTGGGGAGCCTATGATGGAAAAAAGGAGAAAATTCTTCATGGTCACAGTCTGGAAATATCAGATGTTGACTGGTCATCAGATTCCAGTCGTCTTGTTTCTGCCTCAGATGATAAAACTCTCAAGATTTGGGATGTGAGATCAGGAAAATGTTTGAAAACACTGAAGGGGCACAGTAATTATGTGTTTTGCTGTAATTTTAATCCACCATCCAACCTCATAATTTCAGGATCTTTTGATGAGAGTGTGAAAATATGGGAGGTGAAAACAGGCAAGTGCCTCAAGACTTTGTCTGCTCATTCTGACCCAGTTTCTGCTGTTCATTTTAGTTGTAATGGGTCCTTGATAGCATCAGGTAGTTACGATGGCATCTGTAGAATCTGGGATGCTGCATCAGGTCAGTGTTTAAAAACACTTGTTGATGATGATAACCCTCCCATCTCTTTTGTAAAATTTTCTCCAAATGGTAAATACATTCTCATTGCAACTTTGGATAATACTCTTAAACTATGGGATTATAGCAGAGGCAGATGCCTGAAGACATACACTGGTCATAAAAATGAGAAATACTGCATATTTGCCAATTTTTCAGTTACTGGTGGGAAGTGGATTGTGTCTGGTTCAGAGGATAACCTAGTTTACATTTGGAACCTTCAGACTAAAGAGATTGTACAGAAATTACAAGGTCACACAGATGTCGTCATCTCAGCAGCTTGTCATCCTACAGAAAACATCATTGCATCAGCAGCGTTAGGAAATGACAAAACAATTAAACTGTGGATAAGTAACTACTAAACCCTTTAGAAATCAAGTAGTAGAGCCAAGTTGGCAAAAAGTTGTATATTTTAAAAGATGATTTCTCTTAATTTTGGCATGGTTTTGTATTTCTTAACATTGTCTTGAATTATATAAGATTTTAAGACATACAACCTACATTTTCAAAGCAAGACAGTTGGAATACCAAGTCTAGAACCCAGGGCTTCTGACTCTTATCTTGAATTTATTATTAATCTCTTGTGTCTGTCATTGAATAGATTTCCATTCTATTCTTCTCAATGACTACTTAAAGGATTGGTATATTTGAGGAATATTTAGAAGATTCACAAGACAGAATGATTAATTAAATGAGGAGAGCAGAGGAGTTTGGAATAACTCCAAGGTTTTTGGTTTGGGAGATCAGATGAATAAGAGCTTAGGCCTGGGATGGTGGTGGATTAAAGATGTGTGTCAGGCACCACTCACACTAAGTGCAATTCCTGTATAGTGATAGCCTACCAAATGGGACATGAAATAGTCTATGGAATCAAGTCTTTAATTGGGAAAAATAAGTCATGATTAGGTTTGTTCTGAGAGTGTAAAACATTATAAATAGCATTTTACTGAAGGACCCCTAGATGGCTTCTCAGGTTGGAGTGGTGAGGCCGCTCTCTTTCATTATGTGACTGACTCACTAGTTCCTATCCTTGCTTCAAACTTAGTTCAGAAATCAGTATTTTGTGGAGCCATCACTGCCTGCCTGACTCCAACCACAGTTGGCAGCTGAGTTAGATTTTATTGCTATTTCTTTTTTTTTTTAAAGAAAGCATTTTTATTTTTTTTAAAAAATATATATTTGATTTCAAAGAGGAAGGGAGGAGAGATAGAAACATCAATGATAAGAGAGAACTACTGATCAGCTGCCTCCTGCACAGCCCCTACTGGGGATCGAGCAACCGAGTCATGTGCCCTTGACCAGAATTGAACCCCAGGACCCTTCAGTTCAAAGCTGATGCTCTATCCACTGAGCTAAACCAGCTAGGGCTATTGCTATTTCTATCGTTTCTGTTATTAAAGTTCAAAATATATCACTTATCAATTTGTATTGTAATGATTTATAGGCCATGTTTCCCATATATTATGTGTTCTGTGGAGACAAGAAATATGTTATGCTATTGGACTTTGTATTCTCAGTTTTTGTATATAGAAGGGACTCAAGTGATGTTTGATGAATGACAATGAATTATATCACCAGCACTTCATTCCTTGCCTGCTTTCATTAAATTTTTGGAATCAATTCCCCATACTATTATTTTTGTTGTTTCTGAGTATAATCTCACACAAGGCTTATATAAAATATAAAGTAGAAAATAGTTTCTGCCCACTATCTAGAGACATGGTAAACATGAAAAAAAATCTAGAAATTAAGCAAAAGATAGTACAACAGTAATTTAATTGAAAATATCAAGAGCAAAACTGTCTTTTGTGTTCTACAATATTTTATACTAGTGCTCACTAAATCTGAATTGCTTGACAAGTTCTGAAAAACATAAGATATTAAAAGTTACTAGTAGGGTATGACTGCTGAGAAGTTAGCATGTGAGGGTACTGGGAGAAGTGAGATTAGATAGGGGCAGGTCTGAAATTCTGGCCAAGAAATTTGTATTTAATCCATAAGGAGGTAGTCACTATAAGTTACTGAACAGGAGAAGGACACAAAATGAGAAAAGATTGTGTGTATTCTTGCTGCATATGTGAGCTTTGGTTTAAGAAAACATTTTTATTACAATAAAACTCCAAGATACAACACTTTAAAATGCTACTTTAGAAATTAAAAATGGTATTGTTTTATGAAGAAAGATTACTTATTTTTAAAAGAAGTACATTAAAATTTACCCATATTTAGAACATTGGTTTAGGTAAGATGTAACATAAATGTTCCAAAATAAACTAATCTAAAATGTGTAAGGGACAGTGCTTTTTGGTAGTAAATTTTCAAGTGATAAAAATCAAAGAATTTGGTATCTAAAAAGAAGCTATGGTCAAATTACTACAAAATAAAATTTATAGACAAACATCATTAACATCAGATAGTTATAAAGCTCTAGGTAGACTGATGTATTACATTTTATTAAGCCAAGTTCCCAAACAGCTGCATTTTAATCTGCTATAACCCTCTTAGGAGACCTAGCAGATTGAGATGGCTGTGAGGACTTGTCATCCACTATTATTTGTGAGAGAATAAATGACTATTTAAAATAGAAACCAGCATCCTTACCTAAATATGAGACAGCTTGGCATACCGGTCAAAGTGAGATATATACCAGGTGCAAATGCAACACTAATAAGAAAATGCATTTGATAGACTTTCATAATTGAGAAGTTTAGTGTAAAGGCAGCAGGACAAGGACCAGTTAGGAATTCTAAGCCATGGAGCAGAAGAGGTGACTGCTGGTCCCAAGCAATTCAATGACGCTGGGATTTCAAAGTCCTCAGAAACTTGTGGCAAGATCATTATCATCACCTTGCTAGGACATTTTCAAGGACTGTGCTAAAAGCCTCTATGCCAGCACACCCCAGAATGGCAAAGTGTGTTCTGTCTGCTTTCCAGGGCTCTGAGAAGAACCATGGCACTTGAGGAGGTTAGCTCTCTAAGATGCACTTGGGCAGTGTTCTCAGCTGGCCTTCCTTCTCTCTCCAGAAAGGAATACAAATAAGAGAGAGAGAGAGAGAAATGCAGAAAAAGAAGCATTTTGACTTCTGGGGAGAGGTCACTTTGATAATGGGAAGTAAAGTAAGATATGGAACCTAACTCTAAAGAGTTAATATTTAAGTCAAAATAAGTTGTCTCATTTTTCATTTAATCAAAAAAGTTGAGAGGACGCATTTAACCTGGATCAAAGCCGTGAAATTAGACAAGTCATTTAAGAAAATTTATTTGTACCTCTAGAGCAGAAATAGGGAAATGGTATGTTTGTACAAACCATAACTTTTATGAAATGGATCCGCATACCACATTCTTTTAAGACAGGCTTGTTGCTGACACATTATTGCTGGGTTTTCAAAATCTAGCCAACATGAATACCTCTCACTCTGTTTTGGCCTTCATAGCTGCTTCCTCTCTCAGACGAGCTTTCTTTTCTAAGTTCAGGCTTGTTAAAGACTCATGTCTTTTGACAGCCTAAAATGAAACAAATTTGAACAAGAAATTATTTATGCCCGTTTGTGAATGATGTCACTGATAGCAGCAGGTTAGCGATGGTACAAGAGTACAAGAACGGAATGGTCTGGAGCATGCACACTGGGCACAGCAGTCCCATCCATGTGACTTCTGCTTCCTCTACTGCTTCACAGTCCATCAGTCCATTCATTCAAGCACTTCTCTTCCTTTCTGGCCTCATTCTTTAAATCTTCTTGTCTCTCTTCTCTTACAATTTATTCCCTTGTCTTTCCCTTTTCCCTCCCTTTAGTATTAAATATGTTCTCATTTTTATCCCTTTTTTCTCCTTTTACTTTTTTGTTGTTGTTGCTACCATTTTTTCCTTCTCCAACTCATTTGTATTCTTTCATACCAAAAACCATTCAGCTTTGGGGATCCCAGACTTTACCAAATATTATCATTGATGACTTCCAGCAGCTTCTATCCTAAAACTCCATCCTTAAAGAGCAAACAGCAGCGGGGGAGAGGCAACCATCCTCTTCCCTTGCTTCCCTCCTTGTGACCTGTTACATTATATGTGAAGCTTATATGAACAGACCAGCTTCAAAATTTTTATACCAAGTAAGTGATACTACCACCACATAAGGTAGTATTTTCTGTGTAATTTCACATATAAAGAGTTCTAGAAACCCCTATGTCCTGTTCACCTGCTTCTGCAGATTTCAGTCAGAACTAAGCATGAGAGGTCAAAGAGGGAGACAGAAGAAAAACTGAAGTGGGGCAGGAAGAGTTGTCAAAAGAACTTCACCCAGGTCTGCACACCGCCCTTCTTGCTCCCAGAACGTCAGCCTAACAGTATTTAACATTCCAAGACTAAAGAGAGCTGGAAGTTCCTTTCCCTTTTACTCTAGCCAGTGGTCGGCAAACTCATTAGTCAACAGAGCCAAATATCAACAGTACAACGATTGAAATTTCTTTTGAGAGCCAACTTTTTTAAACTTAAACTATATAGGTAGGTACATTGTTATTAACTTAATTAGGGTACTCCTAAGGCTTAGGAAGAGCCACACTCAAGGGGCCAAAGAGCCACATGTGGCTTGCGAGCTGCAGTTTGCCGACCATGGCTCAGACTCTTGGGAGAAGGAGGTCAGTTACCACTGGGTTTGTAGAAAAACTCTTTTAATATCTGATAATAGATACAAGACATCCGTTTCCACATGTAAACTGTGAAACAGAATTAGACACAGTATTAAAATAAGGGCTTAACCAGTGCTGCTGCATATAAAACTATATTTTAATCACAGGATAGTATAGTATAAAGTTTGATGATTTGCATACTTGGCTCTCAATTTTTATCTTCTTACTAGTATTAGCTATGTGACTTTGGGAAAATTATTTAACACCTTTTAAGCTTCATGTTCTTTTATAAAATACAGATAGCAAGAGAACCTACCTCTTAGGGTTATTGTGGTAAATAAATGAGTTTAACAATGCCTGTGATATTATAAGCACTCAATAAGTGGGAGCAAATTTTTTTTTTATTATTGTCTGAAGTTTTACATATGTCTTCTTTTTCCCAAATTGCAGCCATTCCCACCCTGGGCAAGCCCCCACCGCCCCAGTGTCTTTGGTTATGCTAATATGCATGCATACAAGTCCTTTGGTTGTTCTCTAACCCCCCCTCCCCACTCCCCTACCATTTGTCTCTGGATCTATTCTCGTTCATCAAATTATGTTGATCATTATATCAGTGGGAGCAATTTTAATATCACCTCAATTAGGTCTAGGTTCAAATTGTGGCTCTGTCATTAGGGAGATGCATGACCTTCCTAAGCTATATTTTCTCAGCTGGAAATGAGGTCCTAATAATAGTACCGATCTTGCAGTGTTGTGAAGTTCAAATGAGACAACAGCAAAGTATTCAATTAGTGATTGCTATTAATAATTATC